TTAGGTGGTTGTCTATAGGAGACTATGGGTCTGTCTCCCAGAGCCTCTTGGAGTTTAGTATCCTGTTCCAGTATGGGCTGTAGTTTATTGATAATGTGTTGGACAGGTTTAAGTTGGGGGTTGTAGGTGATGACAAGTGGTGTTCTATTGTTGGTTTTGTTGGGTCTGTCTTGTAGTAGATGGTTTCTAGGTATTCGTTTGGCTCTTTCAATTTGCTTTTTTATTTCTCCAGGTGGGTAGTTGAGGTTTATAAATGCTTGGTAGAGATCCTGAAGTTTCTGGTCTCTGTCTGTGGGATTAGAGCAGATGCGGTTGTATCGAAGGGCTTGGCTATAGATGATGGATCGTATGGTGTGTGCTGGATGGGAGCTGGAAGCATGTAGGTAACTGTATGAGTCAGTGTTTTTTTTAAATTGTATCCTTTGGTATATATGGTTGTGACTATTTTCTTCCATTATTTGATCTGAGGAAGTGGGTCTGGCCCACGAAAGCTCATCATCTAATAAACCATCTTGTTAGTCTTTAAAGTGCTACATAGTCCTGTATTTTGTTCCTGTCTTGGCCTGACATTTAAAAAGTGAACTTGTGTGTTAAAAAGTTGGAAGGTTCGATCCATGATGTGAAACACGCCTGCTAGCTCCTGAACACTTGAGCGCGAGATAGGCACAGAGTACCGTGCGAGAGGGCATGCTATACAGACCAAACACAATGTGACAGATGGTCCTTATAATGGGAATAATGAAATCTGGGGCTAAGCTAAAGAGTTGGAGCTGAGTGAATAATGTGTTTTAATATAGTCAGGAGATTATCCACACTGTAAGACCATAAGAGCCCCTAAGCATGAATGGAAGGCAGCCCCTTTCTAAACAAAGGCAGCACATTAACTAAATGCAGTTATAATAACAGGTTCCATTAAAAAAATCATTAGCTTATGTGAGATCTGGGGAAACATTGTAAACTTGCTGTTTAACAGAAAGGTGGAGGGAGACCTTTACAGTTCCACACGTAAATGTTCTATTCTGTATTGCACAAAATGGATTAAATATTTAACAGGTACGTTCTGTGCTAATGGGCACTGTCTAGCTGTCCTGCCAAATCCTGTTCACACTAAATGGAAGACAATAGATCTGCCTATACCCTCTTTGTATTCCTTCAGGTTAAAGGATAGGTACAGTGTTTTTTCTGATAACATCAACTTTTGTTTCCCAGGGAAGTTTAAAAATATACTCAGTTTACAGCTGAGATATTTTGTTCCACTTGGAATTCTGATTCTTCTAGAACAGGGGTTTTCAAACTCTGGGTCGCAGCTTATAAGGGCAAGCCGCTAGCTGGCTGTGAGATGCTTTGTTTACCTGCGCCTCCGCAGGTACTGGCAATTGCAGCTCCCATTGGCTGGAGATTGCCGTTCCTGGCCAATGGGAGCTTCGGGAAGTGGTGTGGTCCAGGACATCCCTTCCCGTAGCTCCCATTGGCCTGGAACAGTGATCCACAGCCAACAGGAGCTGCAATCACCTGTACCTGCGGAGGAGCAGGTAAACAAAGCATCTTGCAGCCTGCTAGCGGCTTGCCCTTACAAGCTGTGACGCAGAGTTTGAAAACCCCTGTTCAAGAGATCTCCCCTGGAGTAAGAGCAGTGGCTTTGTATACTTGTTGGCATATAAAGATATTGGAGTCTTATATGTCATTTCTTACATGGGAGGAGGATCTCAAAGTGCTTCCCAAACATTAGTTAACCCTTCACTCTTGGGTCACTGCCCCATGTAGTGGCACATAGACCACTTACAGCAAGAGCTAAGCTCCAGGGAGCTCTACCATTAAGCTAAGCACTAGCTAGCTTTATAGCTCAAGCTGTAGAGGCTCCTCCACTGAGATCCCAAGTTCACATCTGCCCAGTGGCACTTACATATGCTTAGGAAAACATCTGCAAAGCTCCTTCATTACCCACCTTCACATGCCTCCTCAAAACTCTTGTGCCATGCTGCCTAAAAAAAGCTTGACTACAGTTGGGCTGTTTGGGAACTGCCTACCCTATGGACCAATGTTGTTTATTTATCCTCCCCCTTCTGTCTGTATCCATCTGTTATCAGTGTTTTAGAGTACAATGGTCTCTTGGGAAAGAGACCATCTTTCGATTCTGTGTTCATGCAGCACCTAGCACGAAGGGGCCTTGCTCTAGGACAAGGCCTCCTGGGGTACAGTAATATAAATAGCAAATCATAATGAAGCTCAACCCTCACTATGCATATTATGTCCATTTTACAGATGGGACAACTGAGGTACAAAGCGGTGGACTGATTTGTCTAAGGCCTCACAGTGAGGTGGAAAGCTGGGATTAGAACCCAGTCTTTTCAGGGGGATAAGGCAGAATGCCACATTTATTGGTAGCACATATATCCATCAACACTGTTTCATATGCATATGATATATGACATACACACACACACACAAGCACACTCCCTCTTCTTGTTGTTACCAAGAGTTGCTCCCCCTACCTGCACTGGCCAGGTAAGTTGGATGGGGGAGGGGTGAAGCCACATTTCTGCAGATCTGGTTCAGTGCTCCGATGGTGACAAGACAAAGGGGTCCTCCTGCAAGATACCTTTGATTTATAGTAGCTCCTCTTTCATGCAAATCTATCCTCTTATGCATATGCAAATCTGTGTTAACATATGCATATGCAGTCTGCCGCACCTTCTTCTGGGCGTTGTCTTAATGCTGCCACATTCATCTTCAAAGAAGGTGCTTCCAAAAGCCGGCACTTGCTGCTGACTCCCAAGGCATCCATCCATATGTCCAATCTTCTTTCCGTGAGTCCACTTAACAGGTCTTATTGTCCTTGGATATCTGGCTTTCATCCCCACTTCCGAGGTGCTTGCCTTTCACGCCTTATCCATTCGCACCTCATTCATTCAATTAAGTAAAGAGGGAGAGATCTATTCTGGTCCAAAGACATTCTCTTTACCTTACTTATTTTTAGGGACTATTCTGTCAAGACTTAATATGAAGTTTCTATGTTCTATATGAAAAGATACAATGTTTCTATGTAAAAAGACTTACCACCACGTTTCTATGTTCTATATGAAACAGTACAACGTTTCTACATAAAAGAACCTGATACAGAGTTCAAAACTTCAATGGGAAAATGATGAATCCAGAGATTTATGATTAATACAGAGCTGTGTCTACAAAGAGGACTACTCCAGCCCTCTCTCAACCAGCAACTTGGGGACAGGTGAGAAGCGTCTCTCCTTGGCCACTGCAGCTCCAGCAGGCACAGCCAGGGGTAAAAATCAGGTTTCTCCAGATTCATCTGCCCCCTGTGCTCCCCAGTCAGAGTGAGGAATGCAGCAAACTGGGCACTTTCCCTTTACTCCCTAACCAAGGGGGAACATCCAGCAATGTTTGAATCGGGAGGTGGGAGTGAGGAGGCTCAGGGCTGGGACAGTCCTGGATCAGGGGGCATTCCCCCAGCCAGCCCCTTTTACCTGCCTGGTGGATCTGTCTCTTTTCTGTGTGGTTCTGTGACAGGGGTGGGTAATAATTTTTTGCCAGGAGCCCCTTAAAAAATTTCTGAAGTGGACCTGGGCCACCCTGGAAGGGGCGAGGCCTAATCCAGAAGGGGCTGGGCCAGAATGCTGCTGGGCTTCCCCAACCCCAGACCATAATTGGTCTGGGGGCGGGGGAGCTGTGTGAAGCTTCCCTTGCCCTGGTCCCACCCTGTGCGAGCATACAGCACTTTGAAGTGCCATGCGCTCCTCGCAGGGTTGGGGGAGGGAGGAGGAAACTTTGCACAGCTCCCCCGCCCCCAGGCCAATCAGGACTTGGGGGCGGGGAAGCATATGACGTCTCCTCCTGCCCTGTGAGCAGCGCACGATGCTTCAAAGTGCTGTGTGCTGCTCACAGGGTGAGAGGAAGCTTCGCGAGCTCCCTCACCCCCAAGCTCTAATTGGCCTGGGGGCGGGGGAGCAACAGGGCCTCCACGGGCCAGATCAACCCACTTAGTGGGCCAGATCCAGCCCAAAGAGGCCCTTTTGCCCACCCCTATTCTACAAGAACCAGTCCCATTCCAGGCATATCCCATTTTCCTGGTACAACCAAATTCTGACCTTACTGTAAGTTATGAGAAGAGGAAGCTCTACACCAAATGTGATGGTCATGGCTCTTACTGTTTAGAAGGAGTTCTTGAACAGACAAACAGACACACAGACTGACAAACTCTCTCAAACATATAGAAGAATAGTAGTAAATAATAATGAGGAAACATCCACAAGCTCAGAGTAGGGGGAATGATTTGAAGGGCTTCTTCTCCTCTAACAAGACCTTTGCTGTGGCTTCCTTTACATGGTAAAAGATATGCATAAAGTTATAGGATTATAGACCCATGAAACATACTGAACCAAACCATGTGCTGCATATCCCCAGGGATGCTGAAAGGGGCCATGCACAGGGGAGAGAAGGAACGAGCTACACCTGTTTGTTTGGCAAATCATGGACACAATGAATCAGCCGCTGTGCAGAGTGGGCCTAGTAGGCAGGCCTCTTTCTCTTCACAATGATACCCAAAGCCGCCACTGTCTAGTGACAAAGTGGGACTTTCACCGCAGCTGTCTAGCTGTCAGAGCAGCCCTGCACAAGGAGAACAACATCTCAAAACACAGTAGCTTGAGGGACAGCCCCTAAGAGGCTGAAGGGGGAAAAAAGAGCTAAAGAGGGCAATCAGGACTTGAAGGTTCCCAGTGTAATGGAGGATTAGTGAGGAAAAAATGGACTGCCCTTTAAAATCATGAAGACACACAATTTAAGACTCATGAATACCAGGGCTGCAATTACGTAGGGTCAGGGTTTTTTTTCAGTACCACAGAGAGAAATTAAGTCATTAACATGATGAGTGTGTGGCTGCCATGTGCTCCCCTTTTGTTGCTGGATGCTCAGACAGACCTATTAAGTGTTCAGGGTAACCCCAGGGGAATTGGTCATGATGTTGCATAATGGCAATAAAAAGGGAGGGGGAAATGGGCTTTGTAGTTGATGACATGGTGTGTCTGATAGAAAGCTGCATATTAAGAGCAACAATGTTGCTGAGAATGAGGATTTAAACAAAAAGTATTTTATTGAGGAAAAAAACCAAGTCCAGAATATTATTGTCAGTCTCTAACAATGCCGTCTGTCCAGTGTGTGGCATGCTACTTAGACCTTCCTCTTCAAATGCTGCAGGGATGACTTGTGATTAAGGCCCTGGACTGGGACTCAGGAAATCTTAGTTCAGTTCCCTGCTCTGCCAGATTTTTTCTCTGTGACCTTGGGGTAATTGCTTAATCTGTGCCTCAATTTCCCATCTGTAAATTGCAGGTAACAACTACCTACTTCACAAGGGTGATGAGGATGCAATACTTAATGGCCTTCTGGGGCTCACACATTATGGTGTATTTTTATATTAGATTAACAGATCCCATATTAGTTGTCTTCTTAATTAAGATACGCTTAGCAGTTCCTTCAAAGCAAAGGCAAGGGAGGGAGGAGTTGGAAACAGTGTTCCCTGTAAGCTGAGTGCTTGTGCACCCACTCAGGATGATTCTAGTGCCACCCAGCTGATTAGCAGAGCACCCACAGCTAGATTTGTGTTTCTCCTGGTGGTGCACATTTGCACATGCCTTGGTGCACATACAAAAATTTATTTCGCACATAGATGGAACAGTTTAGAGGGAACATTGGTTGGAAAAGATCCTTTTATCACAATGTGTAATTGGGGTGGGGCAGGGTGAGGCATCCACAGAATTCTGAGCACCCATTCAGGTCTCTTGGAAAAAAGTTGCAATGTCCGTCAGATGTCTGTCACATTTCCCATTGTGATTTTGAAATTCTTCTTGCAGTTGTGGAATGAAGGGGTGCCAGGGTTCTGGCTTGTCATTTTTGCTGCCAAAAAGGTCTCTGTGTGGAGAGGATATCCGACTTAATAGGCTGCAGATATGCTCAATCAAAATGTCCAGTGCAGGGAATTCTTGGCCGAACCATTTCTAGGTTAGATAAGTCACAGGGATATCTCACGGAGAATCGCTGATTTTTTTTTTATCTCCAAGTGGTGTCATTTAGAAAGGATCATGTACTAATGTCAGAAGGTCAACCTAATTATAAGCAATGAACAGAGCATTACAAGATTTTTATCAAAAACTTGGCACCGTTTAGACTGTTCTAAGCACAGTGAAGGAATGCCCCCATTGATAGAGTATGTGTCAGGCAGTTTTGAAGCATTTTGCTGGGAGTTCTATTTAGAACTCCATGTGCCTGTCTATTTGTTGGGTCTGATAAGGAAGGAACAATCAGTTTCACACATACAGAATGGGAAGTGACTGTATAGGAAGGAGTACTACAGAAAGGGATCTAGGCCCTGGTCTATACTAGGGCTTTATTTAGAAATAACTGCCCTCAGTTTGAATTAATAACTGAAGTGTCCACACTACAAAGCCTGTTATTTTTAAATAATGGGCCACATATTTTGAAATCTGTACTCCTGCTTTCCTTGAGGAATAAATTTAAAAATAATTATATTGAAATAGCATTAGTGTGGATGCTCTAGTGCTGCTATTTTGAAATAACTACTCCCCAGAGTCATTTGAACTAATTACTCCCCGTGCTTCCTGGGGCTGTAAGTCGAGATAGCGTGTCCACATTAACGGAGCTTGCCTTGGAATGATTTCAAGGCTTCGCGTAGTGTGGACGCACTATTTCGATTTTGTTATTTCAGGAGTTATTAAATTGATTTTAGTTATTTTGAAATAGTTTCCTAGTGTAGACATATGCAGGGAGTCATAGTGGACCACAGGCTAAATATGCGTCAACAGTGTGACACTGTTGCAAAAAAAGCAAACATGATTCTGGGATGCATTAACAGCAGTGTTGTGAGCAAGACACAGTAGTAATTCTTCTGCTCCACTCTGTGCTGATTAGTCCTCAGTTGGAGTATTGTGTCCAGTTCTGGGCACCACGTTTCAAGAAAGATGTGGAGAAATTGGAGAAGATCCAGAGAAGACCAACAAAAATGATTAAATGTCTAGAAAACATGAGCTATGAGGGAAGACTAAAAGACTTGGTTTTGTTTATTTTGGAAAAGAGAAGACTTAGAGGAGACGTGATAGCAGCTTTCAAGTACCTAAAAGGGTGTTACAAGGAGGAGGTAGAAAAATTGTTCTCCTTGACCTCTGATGATAGGACAAGAGGCAATGAGCTTAAATTGGAGCAAAGGAGGTTTAGGTTTGACATTAGGAAAAACTTCCTAATTGTTAGGATGGTTAAACACTGGAATAAACTGCCTAGAGGGGTTGTAGAATCTCTGTCACCCGAGATATTTAAGAGTAGGTTAGATAGACATCTATCAGAGATGGTCTAGGATGGTGCTTGGTCCTGCCATGAATGCAGGGGACTGGACTTCATGACCTTTGAGGTCCCTTCCAGTTTTAATATTCTATTAATTGTCTATGAATTCTATGGATTGTCCATAAGATGGGGAGGCAGGGACCAAGGAACTCAGATACAATGGTGACAAGGGAGGTATAATTGTTGAATGTGAATGCTGCTGCAGTTTACACTGGTGTAAATCTACAAGTGACCGCGCAGACTTCCGTGGACGCTCATCAGATGTACACCATGGCTATGTCTATACTGCCTGCTCTTGCGCAAAAGAAAAAAAATGCAAATGAGGCAAAGTGTGGAATATCGCTGAACCTCATTTACATAATTAATGAGGCTCCATTTTTGCACAAGAGGCTTTTGCACAAAAACCCTCTCTTGCGCAAGAGCTGTTCTTCCTCTTTTTTTCAGGAAAGAACGGCTCTTGCGCAAGAGGGGGGTTTTGCACAAAAAGGATATTCCACGCTTCGCCTCATTTGCATATTTTTTGCGCAAGAGTGGGCAGTCTATGCAAGTAGAATTTGCCCCACTTCTAGTGAGGCAAGTCTGTCTTGCTAGTTTTCTAGAAAGACTTCTTTACCTGTTTTTTGTTTCAGCTACCCCAGACTAACACGGCTACATTTCTATCACTTCTTTACCAGTGTCTTGCTGCCAGATACACTTTAAGTTCTTCCCACTGAGGGGTGGTAAGTGTAGCAGCAAGTGGCCCAATTTAAGCCACTCGGGCAAAATAATAGGCCCTAAAAAGGGGATTTTTGGCATAAGTGGACTTTTGGCTCCAGTGTTTTGCCAGCCCTGCTCCATGTGCCTGTCTATGGCTGGACCACACTGTTCTAAAACTGTTCATTGCTTTTCAGAGTCTAGAGAGGGCAGAGGGAAATAACATGTACGTTGTAGAAGACCTGAAAGTTCTCTGATTTGCCCCAGTGACCGATCAGGCCTTCGTGTCCCCAGAATACTGGCAGCACAAAGATATATGAGGGCACTTTTTTGCCTCCCTTTGTTCGTGCATCAACTGCAGTACCTGAAAATGGAGCCCAAGGATTTTACATAGGCCAAAACTTCAGAGCTTTTTTAGGAGCAGTGTTTCTTTTCTATTTTCCTGTTAGCAGGTATATGATTAAGTCACAGCTCTGAGGTGGTGCTATGGGAATTGGACGCTTAGATAAATGATGGATTCTTTCGCTCATTTGAGAAGGAAATCAGAAAAGGGATGAGACCGGCTATGTAGGGATTGCTTCAAAGCCTGACAAGTCCCCAGAACCGTTCATTACTGTAGGTGTAGAAAAACTAAGATTTGAAGAGACCAGTCCATGCAGTGCTTAAGGTGGACTTCCTTAAGAATGGTACAGTTCTGAAATGATATAGTTAGGGGCTCTCTGGTTGGGCAAGAGCTGCAGGGGAGAGAAGGGAGCAGTCTATCTGGCTCCTCTTTCAAAGAAAACTAGAGAGGAGCTGTGGCTACTGACGTTAATAAAGGCTTTAGGTTCTGGATCCTCTGTACAAATTGTGTCCGTAATCTAAACCGATGAGAGTTAGAAGGGTTAAAAAAAACCCACAGAAGACCCTGTTAAATCTCTCTGCAGCTGGTCCCTGACTTATGAACGAGTTATGTACCAAACACTTGGTCGTGACTCAATTTGTTTGTAAGTCGGACCCCATTCATTTAAATGCGGCCTCGCTGTTAGGGTTGCCAAGTGTCCGGTATTGTACCGGACAGTCCGGTATTTGCGCACTCTGTCTGGTACAAAAATTAGAAAATACCGGACATGTGCAATGGCCAGTATTTTCTGATTTTTCCGGCTGCGCACTGGACGGAAGCTTGGCGTGGGCGGGGGGAGTGACTGGGAGTTCCAGCTGGGAGACGGGGCAGCGGTTGCTGCCGGGAGCCCTCAGTCGGTTGAGTGTGAGTAGGAGGGGAAGCCTTCTCTTCACTCGTGCGTTGCTGGGAGCCTGTGCAGGACAGGCAGCAAGTGCCCAGGTCAGTCCCGCTCCCCGCCGGCCAATTTGCTCACCCCTCCCCTTCCCTGCCAGCTGGTTCTCCCCCACATCCCCTTCTGATCTTCCCCAGCCAGGCCCCCTGCAACCTCCCCCCCAGCTCTGCTTCCCGGTGGCCCGTTCGTCTTTCTGCTCTACCCTGGCCAGCACTGCTGCACCCCCCCCCCCCCGCTCCCTCCCCC